TTGGGGTTACGATGGCAACTAGTAGCAGCAAAGATAAATATAATAGTACTTATGTGAAAGAAATAATAACTGTAAAATCAAAAAGAAAAGGTGGGACGGAGAAGGTGAGAGGGGTATAAGCAACATTTACATTTAATAAACATCCAGGTGTCATCCAGAAGATATTTAAAAAAAAAAAAACAGATTTTGGAGGCTTGCAGATTAAATTAGCTCAGTATGCACTCAATTTATTTATTGACTAATCAAAAGTACAATAAACTACAATAATTTGTTATTTTCCTGATTTCATTTTAACTTTGCCTATAATTTACATTTTATTCTTGTCATTTTATCTAACATTTCTTTTTATATGCAGCATTTCCCCATACTTTTTTGTTCTTGTTTACAATAAAGCTTTTGAAAAAATAAAAACAGACACCCAACAGTGTTTTTTAACTTTATTATAAACAAAAGAACGTGCAGTTTGTTGAATACAGAGCACATTGTGAGCTGAGCAGGATGTATTTGTAAATTTGAGCCTCTCTAGAATGTAACTTGGGTGTGTTCGATAATTTTCCTCAAAATACGATAATTTTGAGCTGCTGATAAGATAATTCAACATTTCCCATCTGGCAACACTGTATCTAATGAAACCAAGTTTTTTTCTTTACAATCTTAGTGTTCTACGATGTTTTACGATGCCGTCAGAGTGAGGCCGTGTTTTGGCTGCTGCAGCCTCCTGCCTCTGTGAGGAGAGGATTACTGAGGTGGGAGCCGAGAGGAAAAGGTCTGCTGCAGCCTGCAGGCACCTCCACTGGGAGCTCATTCAGTTAACGTTAGCTTATCGCTTCAGCTTTCCCATAAAAACACATCAGCAGAAGCAAAACCAGAATGACTTTGCAGCTTTATCAGCAGAACTTTGTAAAAGAAATCTGGATTTAATGACACATTCTTTTAAATTATTGAGAATTGAGAGATCAGGAGATTATGTTTCATGGGTGTGACCATGTTGTAAAGCTGCTGAGCAATAAGTAACTGTGAACAATACAAGTGCAAGAGACTGAGTGAGTCACATAAAAGGCAGGTCAAATACATTGTAAAGGTTTTACTGTATTTTTAATGCAAAAGTTAATAAAGTAGTATGACTATAAGTTTATATGAAGCATCTTTATCCTCAGATACTCTAAATGTTCAGAACTTTATTTTAATAAAATGTTGCTAGGATTTTTTTATAAATAAAAAACTCTTTTTGCTTTCTTTTGCTAAAATTTGTCAATTTTGCTCAGTTCTTAATTTTTTATTTTCGATTGATTTGTGGAATTTTAATGACTCCACCACATAAGAAAACACATTTAATTTGAAAATAAAATGTAGTTATATCATAAAACTTGTAATTTAAAAAAAATGATATGGAAAAATGAAAAAGAATTTGGGAAAATAAATAAAAGTTGGAAAATTTTGAGGAAAAAAAGTCAGCAGGAACTGGCTTACAGAAGCTACCATGTTGTATTTTTGAGAGGACCACCTGCACACCAGAGATATAGAGCTTTAAGCTCCGCCCACTCTCCCCCACATATTTATATTACATGACCTTCCTGTTTAGAATGAAATAATTACAGCTAAACTTGTTTGTGAAATGAATATTTGAGCATAGAGCAGTAAGGTAAGGATCCACCTGAAAACACGTTCTCTGGTGTTTTTATTTTACCAAGAGCAAAGTCCCCTTTGTTTACATAAAAAAGCAGGACGTGAAACTTAAACCGGAGATGCTGTAATGGCTCCACACTCTGGGATTTTTATGTACAGTTTAAAACGTGTCTATGTTAGTAATATGCAGGCGTTTTGTTTGTTTTTTAGTTCTTCGGGGAAGTCCAGGAGAACAGGGTGAACGTGATTGTTGCCAACTTAACTGTGACGGACAAAGACCAGCCTCACACACCTGCCTGGGGCGCCGTTTACCGCATCATCTTTGGAGACCCCACAGGACGTTTCTCCATCCCCACTGATCCCACCACCAACGAGGGATTACTCACTGTGGTCAAGGTGAAAACACATTAACGACCCATTGACTGTTTGGAGAATAAACTTTAAAAACAACATGCCCGTCTGAGAAACTGATGGTTTCTGAGTCTGAGTTACACTAACCCCCCAAAAAAATCACTTAATAATGTAGATATTGTAATATAAGCATAACATTTCAAATTAAAAGTGTAATATTGTTTATTTTAACCCTACGAGTTTATGGATGTACAGATAAAACTGATGTCAGAGTAAAGCCAAAGATGTGGTTTAATCACCCTCAACCTGCCGTCCTGTCTCCTGTCCAGCCCATAGATTTTGAGCAGAGCCGTTCTTTCATGCTGACCATCGAGGCAGAGAACGAGGTTCCTCTGGCCCGAGGCATCCACCAGCCTCGCCGGCCGACAGCGACCGTCTCTGTGCGGGTCCTGGACGTCAACGAGAGCCCAGAGTTCAACCCCAACCCCAAATCTATTAAGCTGGAAGAAGGTCCTGCTGTCGGCTTGATACTCACATCGTTCACTGCACAGGACCCAGACCGCTTCATGAGGCAAACTGTCCGGTAAGAACCCACAAAGAACTCATTTGGTTAAACTACAAATAACTCGTCAAAAAGAAAAAATAAGTAGGTTCTCTGGATGGGTTCTTCTTTAGTGAAACGTTTCGTCTCTCCTCCAAGAGACTTCCTCAGTCTGATGAGTTTCAGGTGAACTCAGCCTTATAAGCACTGCCTCCACATGGTGGACAAACAGGTTAGTCACATGCAAAAGAAGGCCATCGCCTAACAATAGGCTTGGTTGCCCAATTGTGGGCCGCGGCCCAAGAATCTCTGGTCTAGAGGCTGCTCAGAGCAGAGCTTCTGTTCCTCTACAATAAAAATCAAGTCAGGTGAAGCCATCTGGGCCGACCCAGAACTTACTGAAGAAGTTCTAAGACTTGGAGGAGCTGGAGCGTCTCTGGATGGAAGGAAGGAAGGATGGATCTTGTTTATCTCTCTCTGTTTGAGCCGTCTGCTTCTAAAAATGATGGAATATTTAATGATAGATATCTCACGGGAGAAAAAAAAAAGATGTTTGCCCTTCCTGCTGCACGAAGTTAACAGCTCCCCATCAAGCAGAGCCTGCAGGACCGCTGCTTTTTGTCTCCGTCCTCCTTCCTTTTAGATCACCACCGGTGGTTTCTAAATGTAGTGCTGAGGTCTTTGTAGCCTAGCAACAGCCAATGGTGGACCGGTGTTCACAGAAACACGCTCACTCGTGCTCGAACACATGAAGCTGTGGAACGGGCTTTCTGATTTTGTTTTTGTTGCTGCTGCTTCACGTTCATTCAGACCTGCAGAGCTGTGCTGCTCAGTCGGTCACATCCCTGATTAAAACCTGACACGTTAGATGTTTCTGTGTTCAGTGAAGGATGGATCGATGCTTTAAGTCCAGGTGACTCCTTACAACCACCAAATCTTTCTGTTTTTAATCAATAATCATTACAAATAGCTCAGTTGTAACACTCAGGCCATGTCTTCTTATGCTCCTTTTAGCTGCAGAGTATGAGTTGGGGACGACTCTCAGCTACTACCACACCACGTTACACCAATATCTGTAAAGTCTGAGCCGTAATCACGTTTGTGTTGATGAATGCTGATTATCTGTGGAGTCCATCTTGAAGACGATTAACTCCAAATGTTAGCCTGTTATTGAAGTTGGTCCTCTGGTTATTTTTCCACAGGCTTCGTTTAAATTTGTTTTGTGGTTTATGAGATATTTTTGTGACAAACAGACACATGAAAACACCCAAAAATATGTGTTATATATCAAATTTTAGCCGTGTTTAAAGCTGACTCTCTTCCAGCGTTACTGAATGAATGATTTGTTGCGTCTCAGAGGCGTCCTGCAGTCGCTGCTTGGCTCGTGGCCAGTAAAGCAGATAAGAAGCTTCTCTGTGGAGGCTCCTCATGCTGCCTCTCTCTCTCCCCCTCCCTCCCTCTCTCTCTTTCTCTCCCTCCCTCTCTCTCTCTCTCTGATCCTAGGTACTCCAAGATATACGACCCTGCCAACTGGCTGAGGATCGACTCGGCTGGACAGATTTCCACCATTGGCACCCTCGATCGAGAGTCGCCCTATGTGAAGAACAACCTTTACAATGCTACCTTCATGGCGTCAGATAACGGTGAGATACTGGGAGGCTCTGTGGTTACTGCACTTTAGCGTTTGGACCACAGTCAGTCCTCTGCACAGCATCAGTGCTGCCGCTCAAGTCATGACACAGCAGCAATCTCACACAGTGAAAATACTTCCCATTCAAACCAGAGAAATGCGTCTGAAGGCTGGGTGCGTAGCTGAAATTTGTTGACAAATGAGCTCTTAACGGAATTGTTGAAATTAAAACAAGCAAAAACGGAAGCTAAATTCAGCAAAACAGATGCTAAAATCCCTAATTAGCAAAACCGTTCTGCTTAGATTTAAAATCAGCAAAACAAACCTTAGGAGCTAAAATCAGCAAAAAAAAAAAGGTTGCTAAGAGCTAAAATCAGATAAACAGTATTTAAAAGTTAAAATTAACAAAATAGTAGCTTAAAAGCTTAAATTAGCTTGCAAACATGATAACATTATCCTAACTGTGAGGTACGGAGGCGGTAGCTTCATGTTGTGGGATGTTTTGCTGCTGGAGGGTCTGGTGCTCTGAACACAATAGATGACATCAAAACTAGATACCACATAGCGGTAACATAATGACCCCCGCACGCACAAATGCACCAGAACTCAGAAGTCTTTATTCCTAATAAATGTCATGCTACCAGGTGCATCCCAAAATTGTAGTGGTTTGGGTGGGGGTCTTTTTTATTGTGGGGGGTGGGGTAACAAAAAAAAGAAATCTGAAGCTCCTATGTTGAACAGTTTCTGAGTTATAAGCATTTTTGCATGTCCAGACACCCCTTTTTCAGAAAAATTGGGGGTCTGGGGGGGGTGGAGGGCACTGATTGGTGGGCCTGATGGATAGAGCTTCATCAAAACTAAACAACAAAAGAAATCTGAAGCTTCTATGTTGAACAGTTTCTGAGTTATAAGCATTTTTTGCATGTGCAGATACACCCTGTTTGGATGGAGCCCCCTCCTCAAAAATGGGGTCTATCATAAAACCATTGGCTGGTGCAGTGTAGGTCACACTCATCTACAGCCCTGCCAAATTTCATATTGATCGGTGCAGCCGTTTTAAAGCTACGGTTGACCAAAAATCACTGAACAAATAAACAAACAAATAAATAAATAAATTAATTAATTAATTAATTAATAAATAAACAGTACGAAAACAATATGACACCCGTTTACGCTTCGCGTGCGGGGGTCATAGTGTGTGTAAATCCTGACGCAACATCTGAAGACATCAGCCAGGCTGTGGCTGTGCAGTGTTAGCATAGCATTAGATTGTGTGATGCTGTTGTTGCGTACATTAAACAGTTTAACATTTAATAACAACTCTAATGTTGAATGAGAACCCTCGACTGAATTGAATATATTTGTGGAGTCCTGGCGTCAGTTGATAGAAATAATCTGTGCAGCGTTGTCTTGTGGTGGTGATCTGTGTTGTCCTGAAAACAGCCGGTTTACAGAATTACAATGACTCTTCGACACAACCCCGTCATTGATTTTTAAATGAGATGTTTTCCTGTCCATTCCCTGCGTAAAGTTGTTCCTGCCCAGTCTTTCTCTTGTTCTGATCACAATGGGGCTTTATGGGCCAGAGGAAAGAGGATTCTCTGTTCAAAGTAGAAAATATTTGAAGACAGATGTGGTTCAGCAGCAGCTCAGTCCACTGAGTTGACCCTGCACAATTTATACAGAGTGCCCACTGTGCTCGACACTTCCTGCTCACCGAGCGTCTCACTGGACTCTGCTCGTCCATTCAGACCATATTTATGCTCTGCAACAGATGCTGATACCTGTGCAGCATATTAACATGTCTGCAGTTTGACTGATTCACTTTCCTCCAGGAAAAAATGTGTCCATTGCGATTATTATCGCAAACTTAATCAATTCCCACAAATTTAGCTCAGACTTGTGTTTCAGTCTGATAACCTCAAACCTTTCTGTATTTGATGACTGTGACCCCTGTCAAACTTTACTTATTGCTAAATAAAAACTTGTTGTATGCCAGAATATAAGATTTATCTTCAAATATTCAAAGTCATTGCTGCCACCACACCAACCTTTAGCCCAATGTCTGTCAAAACTGTGGCCATTTTTATGACGGCTAAAACTGAGCAGCCATCTTGAATGGGTTTTCTCCCCCCATAGTTTAACTTTCACACAAAACAACCCTTCAGAATGACCAAAATAATTATATAAACATAAACACAATTGTAGAAGTTTACTGAACTTGTTTTTGTTTATTCCAAAATATTCTATATTTTTGATTTAAGTAACAAAAAATAAAAAAGTCTTACTTTGATGTATTGAGATATTTTCAGTTTTTAGTGAATCTGCATCATCCAACTTCCTTACTAAACCCTTATATTCTGTGACTGATACATAAAAAAAAACTGAAGATGACTGAAAATTCTCTCATTTTTTCATGTTTTGGGAATGAAGCTGAGCCCCCTGCCAACGGGACAGGAACCCTTCAGATATACCTCATAGACATTAATGACAACGAGCCTCGCGTGTTTCCTCCGGAGGTGGAAATGTGTGAGAAACCTGAGCCCAATGCCTTAAACATCACAGCCAGTGACCCGGACCTGTACCCCAATGCTGGACCCTTTGCTTTCGAGTTGGCCAGCCGTTCAGCAGACATCCGGCGCAACTGGACCCTCAATCGTGTCGGTGGTTCGTATCAAACATGTCTGAGATCGTCAGGTTTCTGATTCTTCTGTGCAGAAGTAATCAGCTCATTGATGGACTGAAGCTGCTTAATGTCAGGAGAAGATCATGATCAGTGGACACAGGAATATATTTTGGTTAATTAAAGCTGCTTGTTCTCTGTTGAATTAAAGCTAAAATTAACAAAACTCCAGCTAAATGCTAAAAATAAAGCACTACCTTGAATCTAAAAGTAACACAATGTTAGTTAAAAGACGTTGAAGCAATGGCTAGAAGTAACAACATACTATCTAACTGCTAAAAACAACAAAACTATAATATAT